ATTTTTAGCAAAAAAAACCGACTTCAACTCTCATATAAAAAAAAAATATATATATATCTCATGATCCACTGATCGGATCTTAACCAGATTAGTATGGGACCACCTCTGAGACACTACCTTTCCGATGCAAAAAGAATTATCGAAATCGGTTATGCGGTAACATACATAAAAAAAAAAATATTCTGACGAACTGATAACCTCCTCCTTTTTTGGAAGTCGGTTAAAAATTAGGAAAAGTCCTTATCGCAAGTGTATATCGTTTTTTTAGAGGAATTGACTGTATTTTCATCAAAAAAATTACTAAAACTAGGTAAGAAACAAATATACAGTCGTGTCTGGATATAGTGAACTAATCTTTGCATGGCCTGTTCACAGCATCTAGGTTGTTCACTATATTAAGGTTGACTTATTATGTAAGTGCAACAGATCTTTGGAATAAATGTATACTTAGGAAAATATAAATGGACATATGAATGTTTATTGAAAGAATTCGCGAATAGATGTTTGCTTCATGCATAAGGAAATTGACTTTTGGGCCGCTTTTTCACGTAGAGTTCTCAATACTATTATGCCAGCATAGTCAGTTTTTAATAGCTTCAGTGGCTTTTATAGGATTTCCGATCTGTCCTTCGCCTTGGTCATCATCACCAACTTCCGCAGTATCCTCGGCATATTTCTCTAAATCAATTGGTTCGTCGTCTTCGATTGTATTCCAATTTTAGATATCATTTTCAGTGTAGGTTTCCTAAGACAATTAATGTACATAAAAACGAAATGGGCAGGTGAATGTCAATAGGGTCAATAAAATTACCTTCGGTATTACAACTTGCAGCAGACCCTGTATATCATCGATTTCTTTATATTTTTCCGGCAATATTTTTTGGCGAAGTAAGCTCAAGGAACATCATCGTCTTCATCCTCGCTTTCATTTGGCTCTGTGGCATTGGAACATTCTAATAAAGGCTTCCAACATTTCGCTGTTACACTTGCCTTCAGCTGATTCCAAGCAAGCATTAAAAATGATACAGCATCTTCAAAAGTTAGTTTTTAAAAATTGTGTGATGTCATCTTTTCCTACAGCTAATACAGTAGATGTTTTTTGTAGTACAGCTTAGTTAAGCGAATAACATTTCGATCCATAGGCTGAATAAAAGGCGTTAAATTTGGAGGCATATAAACAACGAATATTGAGCCATCAGCAGTTTTAAGTTCATCTTCTGGCGGATGGCTAGGGGCGTTATCAAGCAATAGGATAGCTTAGCAAATAATTTTGAACCTAATAACAGCTAAAAACGAAAAAATACTCGGTAAAACTGTTAGGAATTTTAAATGTATTACTCATGTACGTGAGGGACGAAGCAATGGTGAAACCATTCTATGAAGATGTCTGCAGTTACACCATAAATTTCCGATTTTTTCAACAATTTCAGATTTTTGCTTAAACGAAAGGAATTTCCTCGCAGACATGATAACACTTAACAATTATTTAAATGCTAAATTTATTAGCACACAAAAAATAAAAAAAATAAATAATATAAAAAAAACTTTTTAATATACAACGCTTTTATAAATGGACTAAAAAGTAGAAAATAATACTTCTCAGTCCCATAGAATTTGTTTTGATAACTTTTGATTTTGAAATTTTAGCAAAAGTCATTATAAACAATCTATGAAATTGAAAATGAAAAACGTGGAGCGCATGCAATACAAAGCATTCGATGTAATTGACAATAGTCAAACTACATAACGTAGACCTAAAATTTCTACAGCGAAAGTAGAACTTTGAAATCGATTTTAAGCGGTCGTTATTCATATACCCACATCATACATTCATATATTACTTTTCATATCAATTCAAGTGTATTAGTGAGTAGTTTCGGATTAGTCCCAAACTGGTTCCCAACTGGTTCCCGGACTGGTACCCAAATGGTTACCAACTGGTCCCATGAACTAGTTACCAACTGGTCCCAAAGTGGTTACCAACTGGTCCACCTATACCTCAAGTGGTCCACAAGTCACTTCACTTACAAAGCATTCGATTTAGTTGACAATAGTCAAACTAATTTTATTTAAAGAAATGGCGTGTCGTCTATTTCCGGTGTAGCAAACGTAGTACATAGGGCGACATCTAGATGTCATCTACCTCGCCCTATTCACTATGCTTTTTTATAGGAGCTTTTCAAAGCTTTGCTTTGGTGTCGGAACACAACATTGAAAGTTTCTGGATCCACAACATTGAAAGTCTCTGGAACACAACATTGCAAGTTGATAAAAGCGTTGTAAAAATAAAAATAAAAAACACGTAAAACAGCGCACATTCACGCACAAGCGGTTGGAACTCGACAAGAACCAAATAAACATTAGCATCAAATAGTAGCAGCTTTTCTAGTAATAAACATAAAGTGATAAATTTCAGGGAATAACCGCTTTCATTTCCGGTTAAATTTGGTATTTTTTTGTCAATTTATGCTTGCCGTTGCTTTTAAAATTTTGTTCACTATTTAGAGGCTTTCGATTGTTCACTATTTAGAGTAGAGTGTAAATATTTCGGTGTTCACTATATGGAGGTGTT